CACCGAGGCGGCAGAGGCGCGGCGCCTAGCCGGCCTGCACCGCGCCATGGCCCCGCGCACCCGGCGGCGCGGCCCGCTGCCCAGGCTGCTGGCGCTGTGGGTGCTGTTCGCCCCGCTGCAGGTAAGGAGCGCGCGCGAGGGACCGAGACGCTGCGACCGCCAGGAGTCCTGAAACGTGGAGCCCCCCCCTCTGCCTTTACCAGCGAACGCCAAACTTTGAGGGGAGGGAAACCTGGAGTTTTGGGGTGGTTACCGGAGTTGGATTGCAGAGGGAGGGAAGAGCTAGTGGAGGGGTATTGGGGCGCAGAAGAGACGGTTGATGGGACCCCAACACCGGGACCTGGGCATTTCCAAATGCCCCACTTAATCGCAGCTTTTGACGATACCAGTCACCCTCCAAACACTTGAGCACCTACTAAGAGTCTACAGCAAGTGGCTGTTGTGGGAACGCAGCGGTGTAGACCCAGCCCCTGCTCCCTGCGAACAGAGTAAGCAAGCGAGGACCATTCCTAAAGATCTCCCTCAGGGATCTGCTTTCAGACCCGCGGGTGTCCGCCGGGAGCGCTGGGTTTCTAACTTGGGCTTCGCATCCTTCCCTACTTCACTTAACTCTTTATCTGAAGAACGGAGCAATCCCCTCTTCAGAGCATTACTATGAGAGAATTTGGAGACTTCTTCTGAAAGGCAGACGAGCCTTCTTTTTTATGTTCTCGCTGTTTTCCCCTTGCCCCTCTCGACTCTTCCCAGAGTTTAAAGTCTGCCAGTTCAGGTTCTGCCCTTGACTAACCATAGAATCCCTTCTCAGAAACCTTCTGACCCTGTTCAGGTAAAATGTTTTTTTTCCAATCGGGGAAACCCAGGTACAATGAAGTGCTTGGAGCCAGTACTGGTGTCAGAAACAGCCCCTCTGTCTATGACCCCAGCCTGGTACTGCGCTGGGATGGCACAGAAATCCACAGCGCAGGGTAAAGGCTAATCTCACTGCGGCCAAAGCCCCCCTGGGGCTCCCCTGGTCCAACTGCCCTTCCCTAAAGGAGGCAATCAGTTCTGGAGAACCCACCCCCCAAGGTAGCCAAAGTTCCATCCAGGAAGAGCCTTGATTCCCTTGATCCCTGGAGCTGAGGGGCTGTCCCCTGCCCTCATGCCTAGGAGCACCTCATGGATGATAAAGAGCTTCAGCCTGGTTACAGGTTGCTGGAAACTGAGTACCTTCTCAGAGCCTTGCTGCCCAGGACTCTCGAAGATCAGGCAGTACAATTACCAAGTAAATGAAGCCAGGTAATGATTTTCTGCCCTGAAGGAGAGCTATATAGTGTAGCAGACCCAGCACACCAAAGACTGTACTATAAAAATCATTTATACTTCAGAGTTCCTCAGAGGGACAGGCGAATGTTGGAGGTTTTCTTGGTTTCAGCAGTTTCAGATTTCTCTTCTTTGGTAAAAGTGACTTGGGCATCTGCCAGCATCTCTCGGCACCAGAGCTCTGAGGTCTGCGAAGACACGTGAGGCGCACTTGGAGACCTAACTACGTTTGGAGTGAGAAGAGGGAGGAAATCTAGCTTGGGGGGAAAGCCTTTACAGAAATAGTGGAAACATGCTGCAGGCTGAAGCAGAAAATTCTGGTGCCGATTCTTTCTCCTTCATTCCTAGTTTTATGGGTCTCTTAGAACAGCTGAGGAAAAAGAAGGCGGAAAAACCCAATGGAATTTTTCATTTTAAGCACTTCAGGTGTTGCTTAATTAAGAGTTCAACAGGTTGAACAGGGTGCTACCTTATTTGAACCAAAGGGCTAGGGCTCCAGTGAACATTTAGCCACCTAAGAAAAGCTTGTCTGACCACACAGCTAATAAAGATTCTCATGTTGCTTTTGCAAAAACTACATACATATGTGCATAAAATGCATTTGGTTCTAATATTAACAGCAAATGCTATCAAAACAGGTTTGTTTTTCAGAGCAACCATTCAATAACTACTATTCCCTTTCTGTTTCTCTTTAAGCCACTTTGATTATGTGCATTTTGGGGGGGACAAGAGGCATGTTTTTATTGTTTCCCATTATATCATCAGTTAAGAACATGTGCTGCTTCAATTCTAAGCAAGTTAGAATTCAAATTACACTACAATTAGAATACACATTGAGCATTAATTATGTGATTTTAAATCATATATAATATTCTGCATTGTTAGTCAAATCAAATGACATTGGGATGCTCTTCTGATTATTGTTGTTTGTGCCCAATCTCCCCGGTGGAAATCCACACTGTCTAAAGGGCAGGTCTGAATGTAATATTAAAATATCATCCTCACAAAAGAAAAGAAAAAAATCCTTAAAAGATGTACTTACAAACATTCTCTATGTTCAATTACCACTTCTTTGGCCAACCTATTCTATTAGTTCAAAAATTTGGAAATTGCACTGGCAAACCCATGCATGTCATTAGTTATCAGACTTAGGAAACTGCAGAGGAAATGCTGAGCCAGGGAATCAATTGTGCAAAATAGTTGGCAAAACCAGCTTCTAGAAAATGCATTAAATGTATTATACTTATGACATTAAATAGATTCGACATGATGTGGTGGCACATGCCTGTAATCCCAGCTACTCAGGAGGATGAGGTAGGAAAATCTCAACTTCAAGGCCAGCTTGGGCAATTCAGAGAGATCCTATAATCATAATCATAGTAATAATAATAATAATAATAATAATAATAATAATGGCTGAGGATGTAATTCGGTGGTAAAGTACTGCCAAAAAAATAGATTCAATGGCTTAACTAGAAGCCAGTAAACTTTGCCTTTCAAACATTTTTGTGATTTATAGCTCTGCCTATATTAGGGATTTAATTGGTTTTCAGATGTAATAAGAGTTTTTGCCTCTTAAAAGTTTTGAGTTTTTATGTTGATAATACTGCCATTCATTCCAAGTAAGAAAATATCGATGCACATTCTTCAGTAAGGTCATGGGTAATGCACAGCTATGCTTTTCTCAGGTTATCTAATATCTAAGATCTAAAGGCAAATGCCTTCATTCTCATGACAGCAAACATTTATGTTGTGTAAAATATTGTGCCAGTGAGAAACAGGGTGAAGACATAGCTGTATCTTCACAGGTCACTCACTGTCTAGTAGAAAGGACAAAAGAGGTGAAACTGTAATAATAATAAAGCAGCACTTGATAAGAAGAGTGCAGAGGGCAGTGGAGGAACGAGGGAATCCCTGAGGGCTGTCGGAGGAAGAGGTTCCCTGGTGGTCTTTGAAGGATCGGTAGGAAATCAAGGGTCAGGAAAGAAATGATTCCAAGAGGTGGGCGAGGAAGAAAGCTTTCTAGGTCAAGAGGATGGTGTGAGTGGTTAAGATCTAAAGGAGTCTTGCCAGAAAGAAACCACATTTGTTTATAACCTTACAGATAGTAAGTACACAGTGCTTAATTCAGGAAACCCCACCAAACAAATGAGGCAGTAAAATTTATAGTTTTGAGATAACTCTTGTATGGCCCTTATTGAGGTGGTAAGGTAGGCTCATAAGAAGCAGATAGGCCACACATGCCTGGAAAGGCCTGTGGGGTGAGCCCTCAGAGGAAATCCCCTGGGGTGGGGCTGGAGGTTGTAGGGTAGGTAGGTGTTCTGTGGAGTCTTTCTTCCTGCCACCCATCCTATCCTGGAGGCACAAGGTATCTCAAAGAAGATACTTTGTTTGGGAACACCGATACATAGTTCAGCAGGCCTTTAATTCACTGGGTTGATAAATATTTGAGATACCTCCCCTATTATTTCCTTTCCACCATTTCCCCCCAAACGGCAAATCTGTGATAGGAACACAGTCTCAATGTTGATAAGGACCTACGGGCTTGATTTTTCAGTTATCTACCAGCAGTTCTTACACCAGGAAAACTGAAACAATAAAGATGTATCTTTGAAGGTCAATAAATCAGTGTTTTATGAGGCCATGAAAAGGGGAGTTCCAAACCTGGTCTCCTTTGCAGAAAAAGTGTTGTTTTAAGGAGATGTAGTGTGAACTTTATCTGCCATGTCAGTATTAAAAATTTTCCCTCATTGTAGTTTCCTATTTTGGGAGAACATGGGAAAAAAATTAGTGTTTTTACCATATGGTATGTCCAATAGATTCTAGGAATAACATCTATGCTTTTTTTGTTCACCTCCCCAGTATGAATCTGCATCCTGCTGTGATGGTCCTCAGCCATCCAGGTGGTTCACACTGTAGGCAGATAAGTCCAACTTTTGGCCTGCCTGGGCTGCATTGAGTGAAGAGGAATTGTCCTGGGCCACATATGAAATATAATATAGTTAATCTATATAAGTAATGAAACTTCCTTTTTTATAATTATTATTATAACCTTTCAAAAAAGAAACTAAGTGGCTTGTAGGCCAAGGCTGGACACAAGTGCTAGGGCCTCTATTCACTGGCCAGGTGTCCCCCACCCCCAGGAGAGCTGATGGCCTATCTGCAGTTCTTGGACCTGGTTGGTCCTGATCGACCCTGGTCCACAAGGGAGCCTCGCCTGCCTCTGAGCACTCAGGTGGCCAACTCTGCCTCTTTGCACCATGGGTAGGCTTGTGTGACAGGTGATTTTTTCCTCCGAGCACCTTTCCCTATCCTTCCTGATTTATAGGAAGTCATTTGCATGTATTTCCCTTTGGGTATGATAAATGGGCTTTCTTGAGTGTCCGTTGCTAGAAATACAGTTTAGGTTCAGTTTATTCCACCCTTCCCAGGCTCAAGAAACCAAAAAGGAACAGTAGGCTTCAGCAAAACGGGCGTGGTCCCTCCAAAATCACAGAGAGCTTTTGAGGTTGGAAGCCACGTGGGTGCTGAGGAAAGTTACACACAGCCTATGTCTCTGTCCTGATTCTGAGAGATGGTCTAAGTCTGTTTCCTGCCAGCGCTTCCCTGGCAGCTCTCCATCTGCCTCTGTCACCAGAGGGCTGGCTGGTGCTGCTGTTCTCACGGCGGCACATTCCAACTGCAGTGAGCTCTCAGAAGAGAAGACCCTGGTCAGCAGGTGGAAGCACATTATTTTTGGCTATGTGATGATAACTTTATATTTGTTTTTGTTGGCCACCATTGACCTTCAGCCTTTAGTTGCCTGGGGACGTAGCATTT